GGACGTGCCGCACAGCCTGTTGGACGGGAACGTGACGTTGAACCAGTACGCCTTGCTGGCGTCCTGGTCAGCGTCAATGATGACATCGTAGCGCTGGCCGACGGTCAGGTAGAGTGAGTCTGTCTCGAAGGGCTTGACAGGGACAAAGTCGGTCCCCGTCACCGTCATCTTGTGACCGACGAGGTTTACCGTGAAGGTATTGTCGACGGACATGTTGACGAGGCGGATCTTGTGAGACTTGCCCTTCTTGAGCGTCACGCGGGAGTAGTTGCCACCGCCGTTCTTGTTGATGTTGGTGCCGTTGAAGAGGATATTGTCACTGGCGGGAACGGCAGCGGGTGCAGTGAAGGTGGAGCGGATCTCGTCGGCAGACTTGTAATACCAATCCGTGATGGAGTAGGTGCCGAGGTCCTCGTCGTAGTTCTTGGAGGTAGGTCCATCGATCTGAATGGTACCGGCGATACCGTTCGCATACTGGTCGGAGAAATGCGAGTGGTACCATGATGAACCGTACTGCTCGGCACGCCACTCGTAGGTCTTGGTGGCTCCTGGCGGGATGGGGCACTCGGTGATACCGTTGACACCATCGTTCTGGTTGTTGTTCAGAAGTCGCAGGCCGTGCCAATGCATTGAGGTTCTGTGGGGTTGTCAGCGATTCGGTATCTTAGAGGTGGGTGCGCATTATAGCTGCTGTTACTTACCCATTCGTCCTCAAGTTGTTCACGACCCTGACCTTGATCTTATCACCCCAATTTGCCTTGATGTTCGGGCCAGGGAAGCCACCTATGAGGGCTTGAGTGAGCACACACAACGATGTGGAAGAAAGGAGAGATTGTAGCCTACCATTGATTAACATCGCCGTGTTCTTGGTCATGCCATCTTGACCTTGGAAAGAGGTGTGCTCGGTGAGAACCAAGTCATACTGTCCAACTCGTTAGCACGGCGTAACCCTCAGAGTACACGCGTCAACCAACCTCTCTCGTCACACCAGTATCTGGGATGGACTCCTCGTAAGCAGTCTTGATATCAAACCCTTCAACCCAACACTGTCTGTTGTCGGCAGTGTTGCAAGACTTAGGCCCTTGGTTAGAGTCCGCAGGGGTTGATGAGCCAGGCTGTGCGTTGTCCTGCCTCCTCGAGACACCAGTGTTGGACGACGGTGAGGGGACGGCTGCTGCTAGGCCATAGAGGAAGAAGAGCGCGCTCTTGGAGAGTGTTGACTTCATCTTGACTGTCTTTGGCTGATGCGTATGCCGAGGGCTATGAATGTCTGCTCGAGTTGCCCTACATAGGAGTCAGTCAACGAGGATCCCGTTTCATGGAAGTGGCACTCTAAGAGGAGGCGACTTACCTAGTCCACCCAGTATTAATCTCTACCACAACCTTGTTCGTTCGACGTAACAAAAGAAGAGAAGAGCTTCCAGAAATTCCAACTCTTCAACGGTCGACGCAACCTTTAGATAAGGTAGAAAACCTGCGCTGTGATATTGGCCACCGCCTGATTAACCTTAAGAAAGAGGGCACGGTGCTGTCGTTCGGGGACGAACCGTGATCTAGCCTTTTAGGTCGAGCGTCGCGAAACGTAGGAAACTGTTAGATTTTGCGCCGCGGAAGGGAAGGAGCTCGTTCCTAGACACACTCACGTACCAACCAGAGAGCTTTATATCAAGGCGGGCGGCACCAAGACGGCGGGTTAGTTTCAATATATTCGGGCTGGGGAGGGAAGGCAAAGGTAAGATGGGATGATGTTTGGAACTGTCTGAGTGGGAGTGAGCGTGTGTGTAGTTTACTGCGGTTGGATTGGATTGTCTTGTGTGTAGTTCCTGACAGTCGGTCCCGGGTACCAAGCGGTCTTTGGGTCCATGGCCGCCTTAGTGGGCGGTTATCACGAGTGTCAGACAAGCCCGAGGTGGGTGACTCTGAATGCATGTTCGCTTCTACCCGGCAGCCGGAACCAAGGTCCGCTCTCCTGGTTGCTGAGTACAGGCATGCGAGGGGGACCAGTTCAGACTGAAGGCAGGCTGCAAGGCGAGAAGCAATCTGAGGAGAGGTATGGGGGTTCAGGTTAGACGGCCGCCACCATGCAGCCCTCGGGCGGCCTTCGGGTTCGTATGACTTCCCGTTGTAACCAAGGGTATATCGGCATCAGAGAAAGAGATAGGCGCGTCTGCTGAGACGGAGGAGTCTCGTTTGGCGGTTGCATGATGATTCATCAGGAAACTCGAAAAGCCACAATCTCTTCGTCAGCTGCGCGTCTCTAAGCGCCGCTGGATGCTTCGCGGCGTCTCTCTTATTGTCAAATCATGCGGCTCCAGGTTGAGGATCCTGTATGATATTCCCTAGCCGGTAGATCCTACGGCTCCTACCCCGGGATTTACCAAATATGAGAAAGTCGCCACGGCCTAGACCCCGTCTTTCCGTGTGGCAATCATGTCGCTGTTCAAGCTCCTTCATGTGCTTTCTCCAGCCCATAGTGTCGATTCGTCGAACGCAGCGGTCGTCTTCGGCCGTGTCTTGGCCCTGCGCAAGCAAAGCGTATCTTGCGTTTGGCAGCAAAAAGGTCTGAGCAGTGTGGCTATATCATGTATCAAAACCGCCGTCACCTCTCAGAATGTCGAGCGCTCGGCCACCGGCAAGCGGCAAGGTGCATCTGTCGCCCCGCTATGTCCTCGCTCTACTCAGCTTCACAGTCCATTTCCCCCACGAACATTTCACCTCTGAGAAGAAAGGCTGAAGCTCGAAGCTAGGCACAGTGCCCCTCCAACCCTCGGCCGGCGCAAGTGGCGCGGTCGACGGTCTTGAAAAATTGGCCGTGCGGATGTATGAGAAGGACTGCTGAGGGTTAGAGCATCGAAAACTTTGAAGGATTTCATCTTCTGCCCGAGGATCGAACCAAAACGTCTAAAACGACTTTGTTCGATGGGCGGGTAAGCGATTTCTTTTCTTCCCTCGCCACATTGCTTTCTTACCCGAGGACTCAGCAAAGGAGACGTGCGGGTGTCAAATCTGACGTGTACCGCGGTGCTGGTATACGTTGGATCGTTGTAAAGCATTCCGGAAATTTCCGTTCGCCTTCTTTGGTGTGGCATTTATTTGTGGCGGGCGGAAGTGCGTATTTGAGATGTTTAGGCTAAGTAAAAGCTGCAGCCAAGATTTACGCGCCTGCACGACCGCTTATTGCCAAGTCGGCGAAGATGAGGCTCAAGTTTGACCCAATGACATTGCGATAGAGAATAATACGCGCTTGCGCTTTTATGAGGTCGGCGGACGGCTGTCTTTTGAGTCCGACAAACCTGGTCCAGTGGGTTGGGAAACATGGGATGAACCAATTCGTAAGGGCTAGAGAACGGTCAGTGGTGGCGCAAACACCACCAGGCAAAACTTTCTGAAGAAACATGGTTCACTCGTGCTCTGAGGGCTCTCAGGCCGGCAGTTTTACACATTGCCTAGTTTGTCCAAACACAGTCAGTGATGGCCTCATGCTTTGAATCTCGGAAGAATCGAGAAAGAAGTCGGTCTGATCCGTGGAAATGGACCACCAGTGCTTGATATAAAGAGAGCGCAAGTGCACTCTGATTCTGGAGGACTAGAAAATCAAAAAGTGAAAAGTGATGATAGCACAACCTGGTTTCGATCCAGGGACCTCTGGGTTATGAGCCCAGCGCTCTACCCCTGAGCTATTGTGCTTGATGATGGGTACTCGTTGATGTCGAGGGCGAGAGCACAAAGTGTTTATTAGGGCTTTGGATTTGTGGATCGTTCTCTGTCGAGTCACGATGTCTACAGTTTTGTGTGCTTGTGGGTGCGTTTGTGGGTCGTTGGTAAGTGCACGACTTGGCCTCAGGGCTGGAGTGAAATTGGCCTCACATCGTGTGAATTTAGGAGTTCGAGACATGTGGCATATGTGGGGAGAAACACCTGCCACTCCCTTGATGAGTTGCCTCAAGTTTGCCTGAGTTGCAAAGTCTGAATTCTTTTCTATGCCTAAGAAAGAAAAGTCGCACAGCATGTTTTGCTCAATGTGACGATCCGAGGTAAGGGTAAAGACAAATGCCCCGACCGGCTCCGTAAGCGGGCCCTGCTCTCGGTGATGTGGGCCTTACCGACACGGATAATGATCGGGGCCTCCGGTCGGTGAGAGGGTGGGGCAATGGGATCATGCCATTGGATAACTGCTTTAAGTCGGGGGCCGAATCAGAAGTCCCTCGTTATCTTGATGTGGCGATTCGTAAGCAGTCATTCAATTGGTGCGCCTATGGGTTGGCGTTGAGAGAAATACCACGGTCCGAGGTGAGGAATCCAAGCCAAGGTTCGGGTTGACAAACAACCAGCGTGTTGATACATAATATGTAGAACAGTACGATCTATTGAATTGCCGTTGGTGAGGGAGATCACTACACTGGCTCCACCGGTATTAAGCTCGATTTCGGATTGAGAAGAGGTTGATGAGAATCAGGTGAATGTTCGAGCAACTTTATCTCACTTGCGTTGATAAATAGTCAGATGAAGTTCTGGGGTTGAAAGACACGATGAGTTTCGTTCGTCATCTACGCCGCCAAAGATAAGAGTCATGAGATGAGTGAAGCAGCTGACTGTGCCCAGGTGTGGTGGGTATGATAAAACACAGACAAACTGTGAGTTCCTGCATCACGACAAGATTAGCTGCTCGCGATACCTGGCTATATCAAGTGAATCGACAGGTGAAGGCAACATCACATGGTCCGGATCTTTTTGCGCTGCAACAATTTCTTCAGAGCGCTAGTCTATTAAAAGAAATTCTAGACTTCCTGAACTCGAGTACTTTCAGTTGACTCGTCAAGGCTTCTTCTGGCCATGTTTTTATCTCATACGCGCACACAAAGACCGCTCAAATGTATCATCAAGTATCCCAATTAAAACGCCGTGCCTCTAGCGACATGAACATATGTCCCAGGGCGTGTATGCCAAAGGTCCCATCTCATTTCGTACCCGTCGTAACATGACAATCTGAAAGGGCATGTCTACCACTTGATGACCTTGGTGGGGAAGTACTCATCGATGAGCTCCATGTAGTAAGGCTATCAAATTGTTAGTCTCATGATGAAATTTAGATCCGGGTAGGATTGAGTAAGACATACCTTGAGCTCCTCAACGGTGGGGGCATCATCAGACTTGCTGTACAAGTCGTAGGGGTTGAAGGCAAGCACGGCCTTGAGGAGGTCCTCATCACCCTCCTTCATGAACTCGCGGTAGGCGCCCTCGCGGTGCCAGGGGTAGAAGGAGTGGTAGCGGATCATGGCGAGAGCCTCACGGGGAAGCTTGGACTGCTCCTTGCAGACGGTGTACATGTACTCGTCGTGACCCCAAGAGATCATGAGGTTCTCAATACCGCAGCCGGGCTCGTAGATGCCGTTCTTGGTGCTGTAGACGGGGTGGGTGTTGTCGGGGTTGCCCTCAAAGGTGGTGGGGAGGACGATGCGGTTGTCAAAGGCACATCCGACGGGGAAGGTGTCACCGACGACATCCCACTGGCCCTCGGCTCCGTAGAAGAAGAGAAGCTTGCCGAGATCGTGGATCAGGCCGGTAAGCTGCATCCAGCGGGGCTTGCCGTCACGGCGCATGGCCTCGGCGGTCTGGAGCAAGTGCTGGATCTGAGAGAGCTCGGTGTCGGGGTCCGAGTTGTCGATGAGGGTATTGAGCTTCTCCATGGCCTCCCAGATGGTCATCTCATCGCGGCAGGGGATCTTGCCAGTAAGGTCGATGGCGAACTTCTGGCGGGCAGCGAGGTTGTACTCGACGGTCTGCTTCTCATGCTGCTCCTTGTAGAAGTTCTTGACGCGGTCGCAAGCATCCTCGTACTGGCGGAAAGCGGTCTTGTCCTTCTCTGAGTCGAACTTGGACTCGCCCTCGAAGTCGTTCTGTGCCTTATTGTACTGGTCCTTGAGGATGTTGACCTCCTCGACAAAGTCGGTGGTCTCCTCGAGGGCGTGTCCGTCGGTGCGGACGTAAGGGGTGGCGACAGCAGCAGCCATTGTGACGGTAGTTTGCAAAGTCGAAAAGAAGAGTTTGGTACAGAAAGTTTAAGAAAGATTACAGCTCGATATGAAGAAAGAGTCGATATGTGATGATCTTTCCAAGGGGGGTATCACTCGAATGCTGAAGACTGGTTTGATGATGAGCAAAAAGAGGGAGAAGTAGGTATCTGGAGATAGTCTTTAAATATGTTGTTGAAGACAAGATCACGGAAGATGAAGATTACGAAGGGCAAGAAGAGTAACGAAGGAGTAGGACGGGAAAAAACTCGGACATGGCGAGGTACCTAGTATCGCCCGCCAGACGCAGTATTCGGGCCAAGTACCTCGTCATGGCAGCACCGGGTATCCATCCGTACTGGTGTGGGCAAAAGGCTAACTTGGACAAGCAGCCCGAGTTGACGTTTTTGCCGTGAAGGGTCGTCATCTGCATGGCCCTTGTCTTGCCCGTGCAGAACTATGCCCCGCGGAGAGTGGTTATGATTCAGATGGAGCAGGAAAGACGGGGCGAGATTTCAGATCTGTGGAGAGGCCCTGGAGAGTTGCGACGTTGCGACGAAGAAAGGCGAGGCCGGCGAGGGGATTCCAAGTTTTGCGCAGTTGGAAGAGGAGAAAATCGCCGAATTCTTGCTGGAAGAGGACCCCACCCAGATCCAGAGCTGGACCCACTCTTCACTCGCCGGAACAGAAGCAGCCAGAATCTCCGGTCACATGATCTCACATGACTCTGAAGTCTTCTGACTAATCCTCATTGGGACCATATGGAGACTCGTGCAAGTTGCTGGAATTTCCAAAACTTTTGACCTCTCGTCAACTCCCGACAACAATGGCAAAGAATTCCGAGACCCACGACTGCCATCCTTGTTAGTCGCAAACGCTTGAACGCTTCTTCCACACCTTCAATCCCGCTTCGCCTATTCTCCAGACCTCCACGACTCCACGCCAACCGCATTCCGGGATGGCCAGAAACGATGCAATGTGACGGCGCCCTTGCGTCTCTGCCCATCTTGGATTCTTTTTCTGCGGCAAAGCTTAATCGCTTTTCCCCCGGTCCACCCCTCCACGACCCTACGAGACCTTCTGGCCCCGCCGCCTTCATCATGGGATTTGCAGACTATTTTTGATTATTCCCTCTTTTGGCACTTGGCTGCCACGCAGACCTCGACGCCCCCCTGCCAACGCCAACCAACGCCATTCCCGCTCAATGCAGGACATCTCCATCCCCGCGGATTCCTCTCCTCTTTTCAGTAATGGCTTCCTACTGATTGGATATAGAACACTTGCCGGAGGGGACATCCCAGTGGTCCCTTGCCCAGGCCTTGCCAGACCTCTCCCCTCACCTTCACCCGGTGTCCGTCCCGGCCTTCTCCCGAGATTCTTGACTTCGGAACCTTCGATTCGCCCAAAACGAACATGTCTGACATCAATTTTCGTCACAGCTTCGGGGCCTCCTTCCCAATGTCGTCCCTGACGGTAATCTAGGGCGAGTTTGGCCAAGACCTGCTGGCTTCCCCACGCTTTCCAAACAACCCCGCGGGATCTGGATGGTCCCTACGTGTTCCAATGTGCCACGGCAGCTGTCAGTTTCAAGCTCAGACCAGCCGGCATTACACGACGATGCTCATCTAGGTATTCGTATATGGGCGCCATGTGGATGGAACGCCGTGTGCGCCGTGTGCGGGGAGGCCGTGAGCATCACTATCTTTGAAATCAGACACTCTCGAGATCAGGTTGGCCAGCGATAACCCGCGGATAATGAAGAACCAAGCAGATGGAATCGCGAAATATGTCCGATTGCTTTTCAGCCTGCATCGTACGCTATACTACCGTGCCAGCCAAGCCAGGCCAGCCAGATCCTGCCGCTACAAACACAGCATCATGACGCTTCTACACTATCAAGTCGGGTATCCACAGATTGCAAACCAAGCGAAATCCAAGTCCGGGGGACGTATCCAGTCCTGTCCGGTTCAGTTCAGTCCAGTCCAGCCCCATGCACCAAGTCTATCGTGATCCATATCCAATCCTACTGAGAGGCGATCTCTCTCGTGTCTTGCCAGCAGTCATTATCGTGATCCAATGAAAGAGGCTTTCATCAAACATCTTCTCGGCGACTGGCCTGCCAGTCCAGTTCGCCTACGCATGTCTCTGAACCCCGCCTCTCCCAACCTCTGCGGTCTGGGGTAGGCGGAGTGGGCGGTCACCCTGTGCTCCTCCTCAATCCTCGTTCATTGCTTCCCCGTCCAACCAGCCCCATGCGTGCATCAGCTGATCCCGCACCGCTGTCGTGGGCCTTGCGTGGGCCTTTTCGGTGATGCTGAGCATCTTCAGCAGAGCTTCCTGGTCATGCTTGGTGTCGAATCGATCACCGGCTGGAGGAGGCCCAAATTAGTCTACTGTTCAGGACGTTCGAATTTGAAGGCTACAGAAATAGGAAAAAAGCAACGAAAGAAGAACCGGAAAGGAACAAGAAAGCAAAACGTACCGATGGCTATACCCATACACGCCGTGAACATGGCCGGCGGTGACCATTGGTTGCACATGCCAATTCCACAGAGACTCCGCAGGAGATCCTGAATCTGCTGGGTCAGCCTTTTCTCAGCAGCTTTGCGGCCGCCGCCGACTCGTGGTATGCTCGGATTGAACAGCACGAGGTACATTTCGGCGAGAATGTGGTGTTGGACAGCGATGACTACCAAGGAGTTGTTAGTAAGCGGTTCCTGAAGAGGAGGGTTGGCCATCAGCCAGCCTTCCGGATCGTCGGATATCTGAGATACTCTCCGTGTCCGGGAGCAGTTCCGAGATCAGGCCAGACCAGACCGGGACCAGACCAGGGGTATACTCACTATGACAAGCCTTCTGGTACCATACTTCGGGAAAAGCCTCCTCATCTGTCCTCTCTCGGAAGAAGATGGGAGTATACGAAGGCGGTAGCGCGTTCTTCCATTCTCTGTTTGCCATTTCGAGCTGGCCCCATTGCAGCACCGACCCCGCCTCGGACCCGAAGCAGAAGTTGAGGACATCGGCGCAGTGGACAATGGCACGATTTGCCCAGACAAAGTCGTCGGCCGGGGTGGTGGATCGGTCGACAATGGCATGACCGAGGTTCATTCGGACCACCTGTTGGTTGATGACGGCGCTGTAGATCTCCTGCCTCAGTCCTGCCCAAAAGCATGCCGCCGTCAAAGTTCCCGGCATAAGGAATCGGTCTCCGGCGTTGACAAAGGCGTGAATTCCGAGCAGGTGGCCGTGCGTGTCCTGGCCCAGGGTGTTTACATCGATTTCTTCCAGCACGCGAAGTATGATTGTTGCAGCAAACAAGTTCTCGTCCGACACCGTTCCTGCGTGGTCCAGCAGTGGGATCAAGTAGTTGAGGCACTGCTCGTGGTACCGGTTCGATGCCAGCGAGTCGTATGCGCTCGTCAGGCTCAGATGCCTCGAGGCAAGGGCGAAGATGGCGTTGAGCAAGATGGGACATGAGCCGGCACGCTGCGGTACTTCGACCTCGAAATGTCGGGAGGGATCACACGCATCGAGCTGGTGGTCCGGTTAGTGTCGTTTCTTCGTTGCTTCAAAAAAGCAAGCCATCCCGCAGCTATCTCAACATACCCAGAATCCAAGTTTGTCCACGTAATGACGGAACAGCGTGGCTTCTTTTCGCCCTTGGATAGGCCATATCGGTCGATCGGTGTATATGCCCTCCAACGGCGGCAACATCGACTGCACCGGCGGCAGACTCACGACGGAGCCAGACTGTTCGCGATGGCTACCGTGCTGGCTGTGGTTGTCGGCGCCGGGCGTACTCAACGATATTCGATGCGGAGGTTGGACAGGCTCGTCCACCACGTCGCCGCCATCAACGACGCTTTTAGCGCCGGGCCGGCTCTCGTCGCCAGGCAAAGGCCAGCTCGCCGCCTTTGCTGCGTATATTGACGGCCGACGTTGATCCTCAGAGACTGTCGAGTCCACGGCCGTAGCCGTGCCTGGCGAAGTGGACGCAACATCTGTTGTGGCTTCTGTCCCAACTTCGTCAACGTCTGGCGCCGAGTCGTGAACGGACTCGTTGCTGTCGAGGTCCTCGCCGAGCTCGACACCGCGAGTCTCGTCGATGAACTTGAGCTTCTTTGGCGGCGCAGGCCACTTGTGGCTCTCTCTGAATACGGCGTGCTTGGGGGCGCGAAACTTGTAGCCCTTTTTGCACTCTCGCCCTGTCATCAGGCACCGCCCGCAGATGGGCAGCACTCGATCACATCGCAGGTGCTGCTCGCGACACTGCTCGCTGCACGGATCAAACACAGTCAGCAACCTCTTCCTCGATCATGATATATCTGTCAAACTTTGCGGTTCTCTCCCACCGGCTCTCTCTCTCCACAGCTGCCTCTTTTCTCACAGACCGAGTTCAGAGCCATCGCAACCGACTTCCTCACTCTTTCTCAGCTGGAGCAGCTGATGGCAACGGCGTCGACGAAGACCCTTGAGCTTCCTTCACCTTGCCATCACCGGCGAGAGCTTCATTGCCTTCATCTCTCGCCGAAGTCTGCTCGGCACCCCGCGTCTCAAGGTGAGCGGCGCCGCTGTCCGTGTCGCCGTCGGTGCGAATGGCCTCCAAATTGACGCCTCCAAAACAGGTGTTTTTCCCCGAGAGGCCCGCCCCTCCTCGGGTGGATCAGCAGAGTCTCACTCACCAGGTCGTGGCACTTAGCGAATCAGGCGCTTCGGGAGACGGCATGGCACTTGTGCCACTTGCAATTCTTTCCGAGCCCCCAGTTGAGGCTGCAATGAAATGATTGAAACCCGGGGAAGATGGAGAAGATCTGGGGGAGCCCCTCGATTTTTGAGCAGATCTGAAATTGAATTGAAGCTTGAGTCCGGGGCGACGACCAGTGACGTGTGTGGGGATGCGAGTTGGTCAGCAGCACATCCGACGACACCTCTCCACTCACGACACACACATAGCACACACACACACCACAGACACAGAGAGTCAGGGACCCCTTTTTTAA